ATTATTTTTTTATTATTATAATTATTTTTTTATATTTATTTTTTTACTTTTTAAAATTTTGTATTTATCTTATTTTTTTATAGTTTTCATTTTATTGTTTACTTTTTAGCACTTTTTTAATTATTATTTATCTTATTATTTTTTATTTATTTAATTTCTTCTTATGATTTTTTTTACTTTTAAGCAATTTTTAATTATTTTTTTTTCCTAACAAGCCCCTGTGTGATAGCATTTGGATGTGACAGGTCCTCTTTATGGAACCTGTCACCTCCAATACAGGAGTTCTAGCACAGCACTGTGCTGGAACTCCTGTGGCAGCTGAGAGGGGAAGGCTGTGAGTGCAGCTCTCGCCTCTCACTGTTTACATGGAGATGAGCGGAGAATGGATGCCGTGACCCACTGCTATATAACATAATTTGAGGAAGAAGTAATAAGGGGAAATGCAGCAAGACATAAGTTCATCCTCTTTAAACAAAGTGGACATAGCTAAAAAAAATAAAAACAAATATATATATTTATTTATAGGATATCTGTCTGTCTGTATGGAATCAGTCCATTACTAGCTGAGGCAGCAAGATGTTGCTCCAATCCTTTGCAATCGAGATTCAACGTTTAGGCCAGCCATTGAGCGACATCTCGCTGGTCAGCTAGCGAGGAGATGATTCCATAGAGACAGACAGGCAGCCTCTTGGCAAATCTGCTGGTTGTCTCAATCAGGGTCGCTAGCGGCAAGGTAGCCCATTGGACATCAGCCTAAGCGGTTCAATATGGAGACCCAAAACAACGGGCCTGTGTGTCAAGCGCTGGCTCTATAGATTGAGAGCTGAGCAAGGGTTAAGACATTTTCTTAAATGTATGTTTTTTTTAAATGCAAGCAGTGTAAGTATCTGAATTTGACTCGGTATCAGCCTCTTCCAGTCCCTGTACCACAGAGCTCAGACTGAGGGAAGGAGAAGCAGCACAAGGAGCCAATCAGTTGCAGTTGCTGCAGTGCAAGGATCATGCTAACAGGAGGAGAGAGAGCAGAGAAATTAGCTCATCAGTCTGCTGCTTCTCCTTTTACTGTCCAATCACAGGGTGGGGAGGGGACCTGTATGTGTTACCTAACTGGTCTTCCCCCTGCCAGAGGGGGCTGTGCTGTGTGGCTGAGCGGTGTAAATGTAGTGATTTGCCTGGAGTTTAGCTTTAAAAGTGTCCTCATTAGGCTTGTGATTTAATGCGCAGAGTTGTAAAATGTGCAGAGTTGCAGAAACTCACCTTTGGGTTTGGATGTCGGCTGATTATTAGGCTCACAGGTCCAGGTCCACACTCACTTAAAATGGCGTATGCCTCGCTTAATGCAGCATGGCGGAGACTGACGGAATCAGCTTCCAGGATCTGATCACCACGGCTACAATCAGAAAGAAAATAATAAGTAGATGTGATTTGTCTTTTGAAGGAGACGCCTTTCAGAGAAATTACCAGAAAACATATATACTGTACAGGTCACCTGACCAGAGAAATTCGCAAGACACCTGGTACTGAGGGTCCTCTCCCAGTGTCTCAGGAGATACCTCCTCTGCTTTAAGTTTTAGCTTCCTTCAGAATCAGCTGGTCCCCTGAGCACTAGCCCTGACATCCTGTTTTCGGGTGGCTCCTTTCCCTTGCAGGGTCCTATGGAGTCACCCTTGTGTGTGTGTTAGTAAGCTGTGTGTGTCTCCACAAACACACAAGCACAGCAAGACAAAGCCATTGTCCTGCTCTCCTCCAAGCAGTAGATGGACAGCTACTGGAGACTGCACTCTCCGTTGTGATCTTGTGCTGGACAGGAAGTTCAGGTAAGATGAGTTGAGAGAGTTGTAGCTGTTTGGTAACATAATGACTGTAAGAGTTTGGGTGCAAATATAAAGAAATACTTTGCTGTGTGATGTATATTTGTTTGATCTGGAATATTTAATGAAAAAAAGTTGAAAAGTTGAAAGCAGAACTCTGGGTAGATTATTATGAACCCTTGCAGTGGGGCTACCCCGCACTGCAAGGGTTAAGGGCTCATTTTTGTCTAGGCTCCAGTGAAATACATCAATTCATATTCTGATTTCAGCACAGCTGTAGTGTTTGCTGGACACCATCAGTAACTCACTGACTGGTTCCACCTGTTGTCTAGAATAGCTCTGCCAAACTGAAATATCAGTTGTAGGCCTCATTCACACATCTAAGGGCCGGGCCGTACAGATCCGTGCGGCGTGCGCGGCCATATCGGACCGCTCACGGGGAGGACAGGTGCTGCGTGTGATTGCATGCAGCAGCCTATTCTTCTCTATGGTAGTATGCGGCCTTACACTCACCTGAACTGCACGTTCGTGCGGGTGTCTGTACTCGTATAGAGAAGAACAGGCTGCTGCATGCAATCACACACAGCACCTGTCCTCCCCGGGAGTGGCCTGATACGGCCGTGCACGCCACACGGATCTGTACAGCCCGGCTCTTAGGTGTGTGAATGAGGCCTTAACTGGATTTTGTCTTCTAATTTAGCTTCAATAGCGGCCAAACCACAGATCCCTTCAGGGGTGTAAAATTTCAATATTGTGGCCTTTTTGATTGAATCATTGCACCCGGCTGAGATCAGAAATCAGTTTAATCCCGTATTGATATTAGCACTTGGTATCCCAGCGGGCTGTGTGTAACAATGTGTTCCACGGCGTTGGATACAATGGTATAAATAAATCGAGATTAAAACCCAACATGAGTGAAGGAAATTAAACTGTATAATGAATTACCTTCTGCTGCCTAATACAGAAAAACAAACAGCCGCACTCCACACTGAACGGCGTCATTGTACGGACACATCTGGAACGGGTCACCCGATAGGCTATCCCACATGTATAAAAACGGATTTCCCTTCCTTCATGAGAACCACATTTTCTCTAAAAAGTTCCTTTCACAAGAACTGTTGTTTTAATTTTAAGTGGCTTTGCTACAATCTTCGACCAAAGTGAGAAACACAGAGTGGATTCACTAGGGAGGACTACATCAAATGGGCTTTAAAATATTAATAAACTGCCGGGAAAAGAGAGACAAAATATCGAACAGAAGAGGGAACTGGGTCACGCTAATTCTATATACACAAAAACATACTCTTCTATAAGATGAATGGCATTCCATGCTGCAGACCCAGACTGGTAACCTAGGTCAGGCAATAGCTAGAAGGGATTTTGGATCTCATGGCATTTGTCAGGTGAACTCAGTACAGCAAAATGCAGACTCTCCGCCCTTCTTCCCAAATATAAAATAGTAATGTGGGCCTGACTTTCATGTAACTATGCCATATACTTTTTTCACCGGGAGCAGTCAAGATAAGCCCAATATGGTGCCCAGCCCCCTCACATATACCGTGTTTCCCCGAAAATAAGACACTGTCATATTTTTTTTTGGCTCAAAAAAAACACACTAGGTCTTATTTTCTGGGTAGGCCTTATTTTATTTTTTAATATACAACAATCCACACTTATTCATGTAGAAAAGTCTACATGTATTCAAGTACAAAAATATGGTGAACAGGGCAATCAGCGGTGCGGTACCTTTCCAAGAGCAATTTGCTAACCAATCGCTGGCCACAATGAGCGAATGAACTATAGAGGAAGCATCGGCTTATGTGGCTCTGCTCCCTCCAGTGGCTTCGTTGGCACCACTGATTCTCTCCCGCGGCTCTTCAACTTCCCCCTTATGCCACCACTGGCCCTGGGAATGGTCACAACTAGGTCTTATTTTCAGGGTAGGTCTTATATTTTAGCAATTCCCAAAAATAGTACTAGGTCTTATTTTCCGGGTGGGTCTTATTTTCGGGGAAACAGGGTATAATACCAAAAGCACCGACAGAATCCATAGGGGTTTAAAAGGCACTCAACATGTTATAAAAAGAAGATTTTTACATTTATTGCTTACACAAACATGTTAAAACATCATAAAAAATGCCACCACATTCCTTATAGTCCCATCAAATTCCTACCTCCCGCAACCACTGCATTCATAATTATAATACCATTCAAATATGTGAAGCGGCGCTATAACCCAACAAGTAAACAAATATGTGCAAAAACCAAATATTATAGTGAACAATACTATTGTGAGAGAAAAGAAAAAAAATTATATGTATATATAATTTTTCAAATATTTTCCAAATTAAATCTTCCGGTCAACTGTTTGTGTAAATCACAAGGTGATAATCTAAAAAAACTCCAAATGACTAATAAAGAGCTTTCTGATGAAGTCAATTAGACGTAAGAAGCTGAGTCAGTGACGTCAGAACGCCTGGAGAGAAAGAGGACAGATCTGACATCCAGAAATGTGATTCTGATACGCGATTTTATTCGTTTTTATGTGAGTGTATTTTTTTAGTAAAATCATTTTATGAATACGGGGTGCACTATGATTTCCACTTCTGTCTTTGAGAGATCTTTTTGAGATGAAGTTGGGCTGTCGGTAGAGGAGAAAAACGTTAAGATCAGGATTGGTCTCATCTGAAGGAAGGAAGATCACAGCTTCAAATAGTGTGAGGAAGTAGTTTTACCCTATAAGAAGCGCTTTGAGACCCAGGGGTCTGAACACGGAGGTGAGAGGCTTATTTATCAGAGCACTGGTGTTTTTTATGAGCACTTCAGCAAAAAAATACACAAGAAATTACAAGAGTGAGGCACAAAGAAAGACTAAGACAACACCTTTTTTTTTTTTGTGAGAGAGCTGCCTGCGTTAAATGAATTTATGGACACTTTGTTTCAATTATGTGTTTTACACACTGACACAGGACGCTTGCTACTTTATTAGTCATTTGGAGTTTTTTTTTAGATTATCACCTTTGATTTACACAAACAGATTTAATTTGGAAAATATTTGAAAAATTATATATACATATTTTTTTTCTTTTCTCTCACAATAGTATTGTTCAGTATATTATTTGTTTTTTGCACATATTTGTTTACTTGTTGGGTTATAGCACCGCTTCACATATTTGAATGATATTAATGCAGGCTCATGCAGCCAATTTAAGTGAGTAGCTGTAAGGAGAAACGGCCAGTTTTCTTAGATTAATCGAGCGCAGAAGTCCCTGTACATAATTATATTACATTGCTGTCTTGTGAACAGTTACATAGCATCAGCTATTGTCATGCAGCATAGATAACATAGTGAGCAGGGGTAACCTCACTGCAACGGTCTAAAGATATATTCACACGAATCTTGGAACCAGCTGGCTGCTAGACCAGTTCTTCTCTTTTCCGTCAATGGAATGTCCCTTGGCCTCCTTCATGTCCAATATACTATAGGCCGGAGTGAGGCTCTTTTGCTGGTCTATAAGCTAGCCATCTCCTATGATTGGGTGAGTATATCTTTTTTAATTTACACTCTAGGCTAAATTGAGTGCTTAACCCTTAACGGGTGGTAGAGGACTCACTGCAAGCGTTAAGAATTTTTCAGCCTGGAGTTCTTTAAGGAAGGAAGGATATGGGATGTGATCACATTGGTTTGCTTAGTGAATCGGTGCGCAGCAAAGTAAAGCTTTCTTAAAACAGGAGTTATCCACATGTCTCACTCTGTCACTTATCACAATAATAAGAAGATTATTCCTCATTTTAGGACAGTGGGCAGGGCCATGCAAATCATTGTTTTACACCACACTGGCCAGATGCCCATCAAGAACCTCTGGTTCTTTATAACCTTTTATAGAGCCATTTATTACAAACTGCATACAGCTCTTTCAGTCTCTTTAGCAATCACTATAGCAGTGTATGGAAACCGTGGCTTTTATGGAATAGGGCTTGGGATCCAACAAGACCATAGAACCATACAGGTTATGGTGGGAAGTGACTAAAGCAATTAAAAAGCATGTTTGTGGATATTGGCATGCCTTCGACTCTACTCTGACTTTGGCTCAGATTCGCTCATCTCTATCTGCAAATGATCAAACCTTATTGGGCAATTAATAGTGCATACAAAGTTGGACCGATGCTCTGTGTCTGTTGGGGTCAGCCTAACACTGGTATTATTATAACCGGGTAACGTGCACCTGCACTAGACTGCTGCTCAAGCCAGCCCATAGCCATTGGGGGCATGGCTGTAATTACACCGTACACAGCGCTTCTCCATATTATAAAATTACAAGTAAGAACTGATGTGCCACGTTACTAGCGGCTGACAAATCTTTTCCTGCATTCACTCTTTCATTTTGAAGGACACTTGTATATTTTGAAAATCCGAGCATGAAATATTGCCATCACTACATGTTGTGATGCCCTGTATTAATGGTTGGAAAGGTTTAAAAAATTAAATGACTTGTACCTGAGTCTTCCATCCATCTTGGAGACAGATCCTGGAGCCAAGCTGTGGATATAAATGCCGGGAGAGTTGTTTTCTAGAGCAAGGCAGCAAACTCCAATGCCCAGACCAACACCGGGTTCTGCAAGGACACACAAAGGTCTGTGAGGGGTTAATAAACACAATACTGTCTTGTTCTTTAGCTATTGTATATGCATAGGATGAGGTGTAAAATGTTAAATCCAAACACCCAGTACCTTCCCTCAAGTAGGTGGGACAAAGCTCGATGTTTACAGGAAAAGACAAGATTTGGATATACTGTAACATCTTTATTTATTTATTTCAGGTATTTATATAGCGTCGACAATTTACACAGCACTTCACATAGTTGCACATTCACATCAGTCCCTGCCCTAATGGAGTTTACAATCTAAGGTCCATATCTCACATGGATACATAGAGGGCCAACATGTCTTTGGAGTGTGGGAGGAAACCGGAGTACCCGGAGGAAACACACGCAAGTACAGGGAGAACATGCAAACTCCTTGCAGATAGTGACCTGGCCGGGATTCTAACCGGGGACCCCCAGTGCTGCAAAGCAGAAGTGCCAACCACTACGCCACTGTGCTTTTAGATCTACTCATCATATTACCATGTAGTTTCATTGACTATAACCTCTGCCAATGCAGTTCTCACCATACGCTCAATTAAAGTTGCCTGTGTTTCTGGAACGTTTGCTTTTAAAGATCAAATTGTTTGTGCAGTTATTGCTGACAATGGAATCTTAGCATAGAGCATGTGGCCCACCTGACTGGAGGCCTTTACAAGAGTATGATCTTACCACCAAATCATTGTTATTTGAAATTATAATGCCATTGTGCTTGTATTGCCAGATCACACATATTCATGCAAAGAGCAATGTATGTAGATACACCTGATGGCAGTCTCATAGAGAAAGCTAGACCCCTGTATATTGACTTTAGTTGTCTTGGTCGCACTTGCTTCTGCCATTCACACAAAAATGGCCATCTGATCCCCCAAAACAATTCTCTCTCTCCTGGAGAGGTGTCCCCCAGACTCTAATCAGTCACTGCCTCACACCCTTTACCACCTCTAAGCTACAGCTAATATGGGTTCTGTTTGAAGAAGAGGCACTTGGACTACAATTTATGTTAATGGCAGCAGCCAGTGGGACCTGTGAAGCAGGTAGCAGTGACTCTGTACACAACTTTTGTCTCTGCAGTGTAGATTTCAAATTGAAAGATGGATTCTGCTTAATTGCATGGGCAACCAAAATGTTTTCTAGCTAGCATACTCTTCATAAGACCCAAGATGGCTAGAAGCCCACATTTTCCATAGAGAACATGGATATTTAAAAGTATTTTACATGCATAAGAGAAAAAGATACAGAATGGAAATTACTTGCAGACAACGATATGTAAAGAGTAACATAGCTATCTTACTGCTGTGCCTTACAATATGGAATTTGACATAAAAGTGAATTATATATGTGGAATTATACTATAATGTTCTCTGACGATGTTACATACTCTATTTCATTTGTCAAGAAAACACACCCATTTCTGTGTTATTTTACCTTTGTTAAGAGTGACTTCCATTACGATCCTGTCCTTGGGTCCGGGTCCTTTGCGACACACAGAAGAGGACTCGCCATCCTCTGAGCTTTGCATAGATGGGGCAAAGCTGATGCTAGAGTTTGGGGAGCTGGAGCGGCTCAGTAAGGTCGGGGTAGCACACGGTGTGAGGCTGGGACTGCGCAGTCGCGTCCGTACAGTTAAAGTCACCACTCCTTTCCTGAGTTGCTGTCAAAGAAATATGACCAATAAGGCTGAAGTAAGCAACAGCTGATAAAACTGGTAAAGCCATCAATAAATTACTAAATCTCAGTCCTGACCTGAGTAACAGTTCTTAAAAGGTTTGGTGATGGTGGTGGTGGCGGTGCAGGAAAAAGGCAGAAATTCAACCACTTCCAGTGCCACTGTGACTCAGAGGTTAGAAGCCTCCAGTGACATTACTACCTCTTTGTTTCTCCCTATACCTATAGAGTATTATTTTCCATTGTCATTTGACTATATCACATGATACCAACTTGAGCCTCTTTTACAAAAGGAAGCAGAACAGCGGGATCATGCAACCTGTTTTAAATCTAAACTGCAGGAATGCTTTATCTTGCATACTTGGATAGGTTCAGCTTGGTCTAATTATTATTATTATTACAGAGTATTTATATAGCGCCAACAGTTTGCGCAGCGCTTCACAAGATAAGGAAGACATTACAATACAATTCAAGACAAGATGGTGAGGAGGGCCCTGCCCCTGGGGGCTTACAATCTAAAAGAAGAGGGGTAAGTGATACATGAGGAGGTAGCTGTGTAGTGATGAATTGTTTGAGAACGTGATGGTTGAGTGGTTAGGTCGAGGTGGGATAGGCTTCCCTGAAGAGATGAGTCTTTAGGGAACGCCTAAAGGCAGTTAAGGTGGGAGATAGACGGACAGGTTGGGGTAAAGAGTTCCAGAGGATGGGAGAGACTCTAGAGAAGTCCTGGAGGCGAGTATGGGATGAGTTGACAAGGGAGCTGGAAAGAGCGGAGTGGACGGTTAGGGTGATATTTTGAGATAAGGTCCGAGATGTATCCGGGGGCAGAGCTGTGGATGGCTTTATAAGTGACTGTTAATATTTTGAATTTTATCCTTTGGGCGAGCGGAAGTCTAATGTATTTATGCATATACCATGCTTGATCTGCCCCAAGGGATCCTGTAAAACACTGTAGTAGCCGGAGCTCCTCCGGGTCCTGTGTGGTGCTGGTGCGGCATCTCCTCTGCTTCAAAAACACAGTGTCTATTTACTGAACATCTAGTATTTTTATCAATGAATACAAGGGATTCTCTGATTGTTCGAGGCATGGTGATGTCCTCGTCCAATCAAAGAACACCTTGTTTTCTGTGAAGAAAAACAAATAAAAATACTACGCATTCTCTAAATGGCTGCTGCGCCAAGCAAGCAACTCCCTGTGTTTTCAGAGTAGAGGGGAAGCCACTCAGCACAGCGCAGTACCAGGACCCAGAAGATGGCTGTAAAGCACTGTGGTAGCTCTGGCTACTACGGGGGCTGATCAGGTATGGCATATGCATACTTAATTTGGTCCAGCTTGGCCCAGTGTAAGTATGCAAAATAATTTTCAGGTTTAAGCGTAAGATTTTTGAGGCCCCTTTCACACAGGCTTTCAGATCAGGTCTGCCTGCCAGTATTTCAGGTGGACCTGATCTGAAGCCCGATGTTAGTCTATGGGCATCTGTATGTAAAGGGATGGGTGTCCGTTACAACTGGTTACTCCCCCAACTCTGGCCAGGTCCGGAAAAACACACAGATCAGAGATCGGTTTTGCTGGACCTTGTTGTGCCAGATTGGGGGTAACCGGATGTAAACAGACGCCTGTCCATTTAGATTTGGCTGCCCATACACTAACATGGGTCCGGTAATGTCACTTTATTTCTTCCATCGCAAGATAAAGGAAAAACTGCATAGACACGGACGTCAGGGCGGTCACATCCATTCTGATCAGGAGGTGATACATGCACATGTCCTCTCCTGATCAGACAGTGAGAAAGGGGCCTAACTGGCAAACATACTAATCACCTCTCGGGATGCCTCCAATGTTATCAGTCCAGTACACACTTTGTTCAACAGTACTAAGGCCTAATGAGTGAGGACCATTTGAACCCCCAAAAGATTGAATGTTAATGATATAACAGTCTGAATAAAGTTAAATCTGGACTATATATGTTCTACTTTGCCACTTTCCTTCTTGCACATTCAGTCCTTGCTTAAGCAAAGAGCCAACCTTTAGCCCCTTTCAGCATACCTGGAGTTCAGCATTAAGATAAGATAATTTAATGATACTTTTAAACATTTCAGAAAATGTTTATTAAATTTGTTTGGGATAAACTTTGGGGAAAATTGCACAAATCCACACATTTAACATTTGACTGTCATGCAAAAAAAAAAGACCACGGATATAAGACCATGTGTTTGTCTCCTTGATTAATTCATGTGTGGAGGTCCCAAGAACCTTTGAACAGCTCAACTCCTACATTAGATTTTAGTTATGGAAGGATTTAATGCAACTTCAGGGGATTCTCCACTGGTGCTTTGACTTCACTCTTTAGTAATTCTTACTGATATTCTTGGTGATAATGACAATGCTAATTGTAGCAAGAGTTCCTGTGAAATATTTGTCATATGCGAGTATCAAATGACGTTCTGGTTTATTTAATACTTGGCCCATATTTGTATAAAGAAAAAAGAGATTATAAGGCCACCAGTGTTTCCTTAAACAGCCCTTTTCTGGAACCAGTAAGAAGTAGAGATTAAAACCACGACACTGACGGAGCTAAATATAGTAGGTCTGTCTGGTAACCTTTATCCTAATCCCACCCATGTCACCTCCGTCGGAAAGCTGCTAGGTAGAGACCATGATAAACTCTATCACTGCTCATGCAGAATTCTGGCAGACACAGCAGTGGAAGTGCTGGGAAAGTGTTATCACTGAGTGACCATTGTGTGCAGGATTACAGTGTATCTCTGTGAAATAATCATTTTTTTTAATGATACCTTAAACGTGTGAATAGCCTCTTGGTGGGTCAGTCCCTGCAAGGATTCGCCATTAACTTCCAACATTTCATCCCCTGTTAAAAATACAAAAAATATCACAGTAAGTTCAAATATGTGTTTATGGGGTTTTCTGCAGCTTTCTATTCTAAACCATCTTCCAAAGAGCAGAATCCAACTTCCAAAGACCAGAATAATTTTTGCTGTAAAGGAGGAAGGCTCATCATAAAAATAGCACAGCGATCATCTTAGTAAATAAGGGGTTAATAAATGCAGTGAAAGGTAGGAGATGGGAATACATGAAAACGCTCAGCCGTGCTTCTGCTTTATCTAGGTCACATGCTTCTCACTGAAAGGCTTCACAAAATGACTAAAAATTATATATTTGCTTTTTTGATTAGATCTGGAGGGACAGATGAACTTAAAATCCTCGTCTGGAGTAAATGCAGAAATTATGTAGGTCAAAAATTGCTAACCGCACTGCTGAGATGTTGCAGGGAAGAACAGAGCACTCATAGAATGGATGTATTTGAGAACAAGCCAAGCTATCTGAAGTTCCAACTCCAGGAAAATTAAAAGTTTCCCATCCAATTGGGCTGCCCCCACACCGCAAGGGGCAGCCATAGAACCATAGAATTCAAAGAGGGTGTGCTTTCTTTTTCACGCAACTGTATATGGGCAGTTAATGTATTTTATACATGTCATTTACCTGTTAAAGACTCCCTTGTGTAGACATCCAAAAGCCATGAGACAAATGCTGGGTGCCACCATCTTGAATGAGATGTCAGCAATCTCAAAGCTGTCACTCAAGTGAGACTTTATAGTATTCCTCTTTGTTCCTGCCCCAGAAGCTACATAAAAGGTGTTGTACAGTAGTGGGGGAAAGGGCAGAGGAGCTTGGCCAGCACAGGGAGTAATTAGACACTGCCAATGGAGGAAAGGGTTTATAACATGCAAGTAAGGAGGGGGCTGTGCTAGGGAATTGACTCTTCCTGGGGTAGTCAAAAGATACAAGCAGCATATAAAATAATTGATTTTTCTGCGCCTTTACCTGACATTTTTTTAAGTTGGTGACAGGGTCTCTTTAACTAAAAGAAAAAGTGGAGCTTAATATCATCCTTTAAAATACCCTAAAACAAAATTATGGAGTTTTGTCCCACCATATTCCACTACTGAACCTTACTATTTGCTAATTACTGTGTAGGGCAGCTCTTATAATAAAGCACATATGCAGGTGCTTAAAATTTACCGAAAAACGCAGTATAGTTTTTTCGCAATATAAGGTCACCATAAAACCTTCTGAATGAAACAAGGGCAAATCCTGCACTCTCCATTCTTTTTTCTACATAAAGTTTTCTATAAGACTACAGATGCACTAATAAATTAGCAGTTTTCTCCCATAAGTGCTCTTGTGTGATCTGTGTTTGTTCCCTGCAGTCTTTCAGTCTTACCTTCTTTCAGCCTCCCATCAGCCGCTGCTGCTCCATTTGAAAAGATTGTCTTTACGAAGATCCCCATTCTCCCTCTGGCAGAATCCTGACCTCCGACGATGCTGAACCCAAGTCCCTAATAACAAACAATGACAAAAAAATTACTTGGTAACAGACTACAACTTATACATCATTCATACCTATCCTCTTCTATGCATTCTTCAAAGCTACCTAGGACATTAATAAACAAAATAAAAGCAGCATCTATTTTCTTAATATAGGCAAGCCATCCGAAAAGGTCATTGTGCATATCAATGTCCTGCACTAGGTGGGTACCTGGGAGGATTTGTAGGATACCTGACGAGTAAACCACTAATAAAGATGATAATGAAGTTAAAAAGTAAACATTTTTGCAACCTGGGTTTATTCACAGGCAGTGGGGACATTGAAAAAGCACAGGGTGCAAAATGGCTGTTTTGTCGGGTGTGACTTGATATAACCCTCATTTCACCTGAGTGTACATGGTTGATAAATGGAGGATTGGATTTAGAACCCAAAACCAGCCTCAATACAATCTTTCCTTGATGATCTATCATTTGCTTGGAGTAGACAGCACAGCAAACTGGATTAAATTGATATTGATGTTACATAATTGATCTGCAACTGACTGACAAAGTAACATGACTTGAGTGACCTGTGGTCTCCTTTTTCCAAGTAAAGGACTATATAGAAAATGTAACATAGTTTTGTACATTATTTTATGGTGATGACTAAAAAACTTTCAAAATAGTTCTTCCTTTTAGCCAGACAAGAAATGAATATGTAAATGTTGTAAATTCATGTCCATACAGCAGGTGGGCACCAGGCACCTTTCCATATGTGAGGACAGAAATGTGGGATGTTCCACTGATGACTTGTTTTAATAGGCAAGAGTTCTGCACCTTCCATCTGTATCTTGGCTTCACAATTTAAGAAATCACTGACCCCAAACAGGGTGGGTTCACAGACTTTAGTTCACTGGCTGCATGCTTGTTCCATATCAGAAATATTTTAGGTATCAGAGCCAGGATCAGTGGGAGGACTGGAACCAGCACCTTTTAAATCTGATAGGTGTTGGCTAGCCCTGGACCGATGTGAGATTGATTAAAATAAATAAGGAATAAAGTACTTTTTACTTGACAGCATTTGGTTTGGATAAGGTATGTACCCAGTTCTGGGCCTAGGCTGCTGCCTCTCTGATCACCTTAGTCAGGTAGCTCAATGGATGAACAACTACTGGATGCGAGGTTAGGAGGTTAGGCACTTAGTACAAACTTACATATCACTTGAAATTCATATAAAACATTTGGAAAGAACATCAGATACAATGAATGTGTTTCAGGGGAAGGACTCCCCCTTCTTCAGAGTTTGAACAAGGATTTATATTAGGCTGAAAGGCTGGACTGAGGCTAGCATGTCAAAAACGAGAGAAAAAGAGGCGCCATTCCCTCGTGTGATATTGTACAATAAAGGGATATAATCCGTATATTTACATAATACTTAAAATCAAGTGCAACCATAGACCACAACAGTGAACTTTCCCAATACGATAGCCTGAAGGAAACACTGATAAAACCAGTTCACATACAGCAGCTGCTCAGACTTGCAAACTGTTTGGGCTGAACGCGTTTTTGGGGACACACCCCCTTCTTCAGTGGCTTTGAAGAATACGGGCTATCATATTGGGAAAGTTTACTGTTGTGGTCTATGGATGCATTTGATTTTAAGTATTATGTGGGTGTATGGATTTTTTTTAAACAATAAAAGTTCCTTTATTGTACAATACCACACAAGGGAAAGGCGCCTCTTTTTCTCTTTTGTTTTTGTCATGGTCTGTGGAGGAGGTCCTGTACTCCTTGTGGAGGGCTGCCATCCCTGGTGAAGTAGTCAGTCATATTACCGTGGGTCGAGTGGTTTCTCTGCTTGCTATTAGTGCTGAAGATTGTATGCGACTGAGGATAGCATGTCCTAACGGCAATGTGAACAGCCGGCTGTATCTGATGTTCTTAACAGATAAATATTTTAAAGATATTTCAAGATATTTCAAGAAAGATGGAAGTTTGTACCGGGCACTCCTAACTAGGGATGCACTGATACCGATGCTAGTATCGGTGCCGATAACGAGTATTTGGGCGAGTACTCGCCCAAATGCTCCAATACCGGAACTTCCGGTCAGAGAGAGAGATCTCTCTCTGACCGGCAATGCCGAGGGAGCAGAAGCCAGCTTCCTTTCCAATCAGGAAGCCGGGCAGTGGGTTATGACTCGCCTCCCGGCTTCCTAACCAATCAGGAAGCTGGGCGCGGCATGTACTGACTCGCCTCTCGGCTTGTCATGACTCGCGTCCCAGATTCCTGATTGGTCAGGAAGCCACGCTGCCTAGCAACAAGTGAAGCCGTCTTCCTTGCCAATCAGGAAGCCAGAAGGCGGGTCATGACGTGCCGCCCGGCTTCCTGATTGGCTAGGAAGCCGCCTTCACTTGTTGCTAGGCAGCCTGGCTTCCTGACCAGTCATGAAGCCGGATGGCACCTCATGACCCGCTGCCCGGCTTCCTGAGCAGGGCAGCCTCGGCAGGTGAAGCTGGTGTTCTTTCGCTAGAACACCGGCTTCACAGGCAATCAGGAAGCCGGGCCATGATCCGTCGCCCGACTTCCTGATAATCAGGGCTCACGGCACCAGTATCAGTACTAGGTATCGGCGAGTACCGGGGAAAAAAATACCCGGCATCAGTGCATCCCTACTCCTAACCACGCACCTTTGAAAATAAAGCCAAGGATGATAGCTCCCATAATTCTACCCTTACAGAGTCACTACACCTGGACTGGACATAAAAATGAGCCTCTTACAAACATAATTGAAATTAATCATATAAAGAAAATGGGCATTGGTAGAGGTTATTATGTAAAACCAGAGCTACTGCATATCTAGAACTATAGGCAAGCTTAAGGGCAGCTTACATTACCAAACAGGAAGCTAGGGAGAGGGGGCTTGGGTTATTTTTTTTACAAGAAAAGTCAAGATTAGCTCATAACTACAACTGACGCAATCTCTGAATCTAAAGATTTTTCGCAGGTTAGGCTAAACATCTGCTGATACTTTTTTTTCAGCTTGGTTTGAACTGCCCAGGTTTGCGTTAAAAAATAAATACTGTACCCCACTGTAGCTACACATATGTATTTTAACTTATCCCACATGCTAAAATCCAAAGGATGTCACACCAAGTATTTCATTCAGTAAAATAAACCGCACAAGAGGTCCTTAAAGCAAAGAGGTGATGCTTTGACCACCTTGTTCTCATCAATAAATTAGCACAGCCTCCTGCAAGGAGCATGTGTTTCCTGTTCAGCAGTTCTAAAACAGTCCCCCCCTAAGTTTTCAATTACAGGCAAGAACAGAAGTAGATATATAGTTATTTTTGATTTTGGAAGATTTACTTCCCAAACCATTGCCAGGCCTCAGTAGCGTTAATCTTTTCCTCCTTAGGCAACAAAAGAGCTTTTAAGAACTTTCCAATGGCAAAGGTTGTGGTGATGTCGTAAATAAAAGCAGTGTAAATTTTAAGACCGGGCCTTTAGCAAGCAGCAGTGAAAGTGCCTTAGTTGTTATGGCGGTCAGGAATTACGGTATTTCTTTTAAAGGTATTATACCTGTATCCCTGTGCAATAAGTTATAGAATACACAGCACAAGGGAAGTTATAAATTAAACTGCACCACACTGTATGCTGGAGGACTGGAGTCCTGCTTTGAAGAAGTAACAAGTTCCATTAGCAAATGTATTTTTCCTCCAGAGAATATCCAATTCCCCACACAGCAAACATACCTTTCCTTGGCCTTTCATTAAGACAATATTTGAGATGATTGAGGGCTGAGCAAGCCTCCAAGGCGATTCCACCTGCACCGTGCTTAAAGATCTGGCTGTTTTCTTCACAATGGCGTATTCCTGGAAAAATTCATTACTGTTATTATTACTTTTAAGTGATGAAAAATAATACTGCAATGGATCCAGACCATAAAAAAGAACTATATATCAGAGAAGCCAAGGGAACAGAATAAAGAGACAGAACAGCAGAGAAGCCTTTAGCACATGCATTGTAAACCTTAAATCATAAAAAAATGACATGTGGGACCTTGCAGCTGGGCTATTGAAAGTCCCCCGTAAATCTCTGCGAGTCTAGGTAGGTCTGCAGCCTCTTCTCACTGGGCCAGCCTCCAATAGATAGACGACAGTACGGATAGAACACCCGCACCGGCGGAGGGCAGGGAGCGTTCGCCGAAAGGTACGTATAGTGGGGGGAGAGGGGGTAAGTCTATTTTCCCAAATTCACCTGGGAAAGTGGACTTACCCTTTAAGACAGGGGTCACAAACTCAATTCACTTGGGGGCCACAGGACAAATTTCTTTCTCTTATGGGGGCCGCTTGCCAAATTTCATAAAATTCATGCTTCAAAATAAAATGTAACTACATACGGTACCAGTGTTAATGTCTGCGTGTGTTTATAATGTCAGTATATGTGTTTGTGATGGTTTCTTTGTATGCAATGTCAGTATATTTTCTAGTGTTGGTTTGTGTGTGTATTGTCAGGATTTCTTTGAGTGATGTCGGTATGTGTGTTAATGTTTCTGTGTGTGTCATTTCAGTATGTATACATGTGTGTATGTGTGTGCAGTGTCAGTATATGTGTGTGTCATATCGGTATGTATACATGTGTGCAGTGTCAGTATGTGTGTGTCATATCAATTCACACAGAAATATGCACACACACACACAAAGACGCACACACACAAATACTAACAGAGAAATACGTGCATACACACAAAGAAATATGCACACACCAATACACACACAGTAATACACAATAACACCCCCACACACACACCTTCTTAAATAAAAAAAAAATGTAAAAGTGTCCCCTCACCTACTTATATTTGTTTGCAGGGAGGGGGTACATTTCTTGGTGGTCCAGTGGTTGGGGGCACAATCCCTGGTGATCCAGTGCTTGATTAGTACGGTCTGCTCTGCACCTTTGGCTGGTGCAGACCTTGCTAATCCTTCCTTTGGATCAGGGCACGCCATCATGATTTCTTCTGACAATTCCTGGTGATCCGGTGGTTGATTAGTAAGGTCTGCATCTTTGGATGGTGCAGACCTTACTAATCATCCTTTTGTCCGGTGTTCAGTGAACACCGGCCGAAATAAACTACTGAGTGCTGGCACTGATAGCAGCAGCTATGGAGGCTTCATCCGACAGAAATGCAGACCGTGTAGCTGCTCCCGCAAGTCAGGTACGCGGTCCGTGACTCCATATCGGTTAGCGGGCCGGTACTTTGAGACCCCTACTTTAATACCTTGATCACATGGGCAGCAAAGGGGAGGAGAAAAAAGGCGATTTATCTGCACT